ACCTCCCTCAGCCCTGCTGGCTGGGGATGATGGGAGCGGCACCTATCCAGAAATCAGCCAATGGAAGTGGGAGGAAGAGCAAAAGAGCAAAGGGAAAGGAGTTGCCAAGTCGTTTCCTCAGCTCTAAGACGCCGACTTTCCTCTTCTCTCTATCCCAAGCTAGTCCTGAAAAGAATTATCTGGCCCTGCTGGCCAGGGATGATGGTTACTGTAGTCACAATGCACCGAGTTGTCAAGCTGTTCTGTTGGGAAGAGAGGAGGGTGGCTTTCCAGAATTCCTCCTTAAGCAAGCTTGCCACTCATCCAATCCTTCCCTTGCCAGGAAGCATGGGAGTTAGAACCCAGGCTGATAAAAAAGAGAGAAAAGAGAGAGAGGAGACAGAAAGAAGAGAGTAAAAAGAGGAACAGGAAAGAAAAGAGAGGCGAGAGAAAGGGTAGAAAAAGGAAAGAGAGGAGAAAGAGGGGGGGAGAGAGAGGACAGAAAAGAGAGGAGAAAGAAAGGAAAGGAGAAACAGAGAAAGAGGAGAGAGGAAAGGGAGGGAGAAAAGAGAAAAGAAAGAGAACAGAAAAAAGAGGAGAAAGAGGAAAGAAAAGAGGAGAGGAAAGAGAGAGAACATAGGGGAGAGAGAACAGAAAAGAAAGGAGAAAGAGGGGAGAAAGAGAAGAGAGGTGGAAAGAAAAGAGAGAAGAAAGAAAGGGGAAAGAAAAGAACAGAGAGGAAAGAGAGAACAGAACGGAAAAGAGAGGAGAAAGAAAGGGAAGAGGAGAAACAGAGAAAGAGGGAGGAGAGAAAAGAGGAGAGGGGAAAGGGAGAGAGAAAAGAAAGAACAGAAAAGAGAAAGAAGGAAAGAGAGAGAACAGAACAGAAAAGAGAAAGAGGAAAGAAAAGAGGAGAGAGGAAACAGAGAGAACAGAAATGAGAAGCAAAAGAGAGAGGGAAGAAAGAGAAGAGAGAGAGGAGGAAAGGAGAGGAGAAAGAGGGGAAAAAAGAGAGGAGAGGAAAGAGAGAATGGGGAGAGAACAGAGGAGAGGAGAACGATGGGGAGAAAGAGAAAAGAGAGAGAAAAGAGAAGAGAGCGAGAGAAGAAAGAGAAGGGGGAGAGAGGAAAGGAGAGAAGAAAGAAAAAAGAAATGTTTCGGAAAGCGCCTCTCCTGTAGGCAACCACAGAAGAAACTGAACTCAGGCCTTGTTGATGGGTGCGAATAAAGAGGGTTTTTTTTTCTCATTCAATGAACTTCAGGGGCTGTGCTAGATGGGCATGGGAGTCCAGGTGGAGAAGGGGGGGCTTCTTCCAAGAGGCTAAGCCACCCCAGAGTTCAGAAGATGGGTATTGTAGTCCCCAGGCACCTGCAGGAGCAGCTAACCCACCGGGAGGAGGTTGGGGGGGGGGGGTTGCAGGAAGCAGGGAAGGGGACTCGGCTGGCCCGAAGCCGGCCCTGCTCCAACGCTGCCGGCCGGACAAAACAAGAGACCGGCCTGCTGTACCTCCGCTCCGCCCCGCGTCTTCGGCTCTTCGCCCCGCAACCAACCAGCCCCGCGTCCCTCCGCTCGCTCGTCGCGACGCTTCCCAGCCCTGCCCGACCCCTCGGCTCTTTCCGGAGCCGCTCAGCGGCCGTCGCGCTCCGCCCGAACACCCCTCTCGGAGGCCTTCGCGCCTGCCCGAACCCCGCTCGGCTGCGCCCGGCGAGAAGCCGAGCGGGAGGAGTCGCTAGCCGAAGGCGTTCGGGTTTCGGGAGGGGGGGGGGGAAGAAAAAAAAAAGAGTCTTCGGGGATTTTCGGCTTCGGAGCGTTCCCGGGCTGAAAAAATATATATATATATTTTCCTTCCCGTTTTCTCTCTCTCTCGGCTGCGGCTGGGAGGCATGATCCCGTGCAAAGAAAGCACCCGCGTGCAAATGCTGCAGACACGGGTCTGGCTGGGTTCCAGGCCGACCTCCTGGGTCTCTTTCTGGGGGGGGGATGCAGTAACATTGGCACGGGGTGCTGGTTGCAAATCTGCAAAACTCTCTTCGCAAGAGTTAGCATCCCAACAAATATATATATAATGGGAGATTGGACGTCGGTTCCTTGCTGAGCGTCAGCTCTGCTCCTGAATAAACGGAGGAAATTCCATTTAAGATAGTGGCCGAAAAGGGATTTTAGCTCTTAGGGGGGTCCAAAGGAACAAAAATCCCGAATCTCTCATCTTTTAGAGAGTCTAGATAGATAGATAGATAGATAGATAGATAGATAGATAGATAGATAGTTTTCTTAACATATGTTTTCTTAACTCTCTCTCTCTATACATATATGTATAATATACATGTATATATTAAAGATAATTATATATATAAAATCTATACATCTCATATATATATATATATATATATAGAGAGAGAGAGAGAGAGAGAGATGGATATATATATATATAAAAGATATATATAAATTATATATATAAGGTACATATATAAAAGATATATATAAAATATACACATATATATTAAAGATATAATTATATAAAATCTATATATCTCATATACATACGTACATACCCAATAGACTAGATTTGCACCCTCTGAACCCTAAACTTAAAAACAACCCATTTCTTCCAGCAAATCAACATCCATTGGATGTGTTTTAAGGGCTTTGCAGCAAAAAAAGGAAAGTGCATGGGTGTGAAAGAGCCATTTGTGTGAATTGGCTTTTGATATTCTTGAGGCCCGGGGGCTTAGCTTATCAAAAGGCACCAACTAACTCATCTTTCTTTACAAGCAGCTCCTGTTAAAGTACTGCAAGTTCTTACCTTCCTATTATGATCTGTAGTAGTTTTTATCAGCATGAGAAGATGGGCATTTTTCCCATTTGAAAGGCTTTGTTTATTCGATTCAGTTTTTGAGCTTTAAATCTTAACTTTCACCAATAAAATTGCGATGCTCTCCCCAGAATACATATGCAATGTATTCTCCCCCCTCCCCGCCCCGCCTTGGGGGAAAAAAAATGTTTTTAAGAGTTATTCTCAACCACAAACCAGCCAAACCTTCTATTGTATACCAGCCCAGCCTATGTGGATTACAACCTCAAAGAATTAAGCTAAATAATTCTACTTATATAGAGCCTATGCTCTGACTTGCATTATATTTAATATCTTCCCTCTGGTGATCTGGCTTTTAATTCATGCCCCTTGCTTTTAAACGGCTTTCATGGAACGTTTTTTTACTGTTAGTTATATCATGCCCAGAGACTCCCTGGGGGTGGGGGGAGATGGGCAGCTGTAGAAATTTGACCAATAAATAAAGGATATGGTACACTGCCCCCTTCCTTTTAATATATTATGGCAAAGTTTCTATCCATTAATAATGATTTTAGGTTAGTCCCCAGCTCTCTACTTTTGCAAAGAAACAAAAAACCCACTCCCCACATAGATCAAGCCCCTCCATGGCTCCAGCAGGTGTCAAAGGTGGAATTTCATCCCTGCTGCAGGTCTCCAATCTGAAGTTGATAGGATCATATAAATCTGTAAAGATTCCCCGTCCTCCAGGTAATCCTGGTTGTCCCAAAGGTGCTTTTTTTTTTTTTTTTTTTGAAGAGGCAACTGGATTTTCTGGGATTTTTTCTTTGAAGATGTTTCGCTTCTCCTCCAAGAAGCTTTCCCACCATCAAGTCAGAACTGAAGAAGCTTCTTGGAGGAGAAGCGAAATGTCTTCAAAGAAAAAACCAGAAAGTCCACTTACCTCTTGAAAAAAAAAAAAAAGCACTTTTGGGACAACCACGATTACCTGGATGACTGGAAATCTCTGTAGACATTTGTCCCAAATGTACTTTTATTTTATTTTTTTCAGGAGGCAACTGGACTTTCTTGTCTTTTTCTTTGAAGACCTTTCGCTTCCCATCGAAAAGGCTGCGAATGACCAGCTCTGTTTGCAAGGAATATCAATCCTTCCATCGCCCACCATCCAGTCAGAGCTGAAGAAGCTTCTTGGATGGGAAGTGAAAGGTCTTTAAAGAAAAAGAAAAAAACAAGGAAGTCCAGTTGCCTCTTGGAAAAAAAAAGCACCTTTGGGAGACGCATCCTACCTATAGGATCCTACTACCTATTGGGATCCTTCCTTTGGGGGAGAATTTGGGGGAGGGGGTGTTTTGAAATAAAGCAATTCGGCCCGAGGCTCCAAAGGCTTCTTGGGGGCTCGTGCAGGAGGGACTCAGCCTTCTTCCCATATCGAGGAGGCGCCGGTTGGAGGGCACAGCAGCACCGGGGAAAACGTATCCACCGCAACCAGCCGGGCTGGCTTGGCAGGGAGAAGGGAGAAGGCCTCAAGGCAAAACAGCTTCTTCGGCCCGGCCGCCTTCTCGCTCACTTGGCAGCATGCGGGAGCCAGCCAAGCTCGGGGCTGAGCGGGAAGCCCGGGCCAAGCCCGGCCCGGCCACGCGTCCGCCGCCCTCCCGCGAACAAGGCCGGGCGGGCATCGCTCGCCCAGCCCGGGTTTCTCCCCCCTCCCCCGCCCCGTTCCCGGCTCCCGTGCTCCGGCCTGGTCTCTCCGAGGGAGGCCGAGGACGGCGGTTCTTACCCGCAGCCTTGCCGCCCGCCTCGCTCATGGCGCCCGGCTCCATCGCGTCTCACCGGCGGCAGCCCATCCGAGCACAAAGGAACCGCCTTGCGGAACTCCAGCGGAGCCTGCCCAAGGGAGCCGGGCGGAGGGAAAGAGAGAGCGCACCGACCGGAAGTGGCGGGAGAAAGCGGTTCTTCTCCCACGCACGGAGGGTCGGAGGAGCCGAAAAGGAGCCTGAACGGCTTTGTTATGAAGAAGGGGAAGGGGCTGAGGGGAAGATCGAACGGCGGGGCGCGGATCACCGGGCCGGAAGTGAGGCACGGGGGAAGAGGTAAACCGACGGACCGTTTCTTTTTCTTTTCTTTTTTTTTCAGCAGGACTGCCCTGTGAAGGAAAGGGTCCGAAGTGCTTCGGGAGTCCTTTGTGAAGACATCCAGGCTACACGCCGGTTTTCCCTCAGAAAAGCTGCTCGACCGTGCTTAGCACTAGCCGGATCCCGAGTATAGGATCAAAGCGGCGCCGTAAGTGAAGACTTGCGCGCACCTCTTACACTTTCGTGCTTCTAGGGCCAGAAGTGACTCTTCCGAAAAGAAGAGCGGAGGCGGCGCGCGGAGCATATGGCGGTTTGCGGGTGTGACGTCAGAAAACCGGAAGTCGCGATGTTGGGGCCTAGAGAAGCCGCCGAGGCCTGGCCGCCTAAGCAGCAGGAGCAGCTGCCATGGGGCCGGTCTCGCGTTCGCGGAGCCCCCTGGACTCCCCGGGGCCCCGCCGGGGACGAGAGAGCGGCTCGGCCAGCCCTTCCCCGTCCAGGCACAGTCGCAGCCGCAGGTCTCGCTCTCGGGAGCGCAACGGCTTCCGACGCCCGCATCACTTCGGTTACCGGCACGACCCGGAGCACTACGGCAAGGAGCAGGAGGAGTCGCTGCGTCAGAGGCGAGTGGCGGCCCGCCGGGTGGGCGGGCTCGGCTCTGGGACGGTTGAAAAGCCGAGGTTCTTCTTGTTTGTGGTTGGTCTCGCTGTCAGCCAGATGTTGGGTTTTGGGTCCTCCTGCCCTACCCAATAATATTATTTACTATTGTTATTATTATATTACTATTACTACGGTGTTACTATTATTACTATTACTGTCATTACTATTAATAGTAACAGTAATAATAGCAACGATTATAATAAACACCAAGGACACTCAGTGTTATTAGTAACCCCCTCCACCGTTAGCTTTGTGGGGTAAAAACAGTAAAATAAAACAATAAATACTGTAAAAGTAATAATAGTATTAATAATAGTGATTCTTGACGAATGTATCGTTTCTTTTATGTACCCTGAGAGCATTTGCACCAAGACAAATTCCTTGTGTGTCCAATCACACTTGGCCAATAAAGAATTATATTTTATTTATTTATTTATTCATGCTAACTCCTTATTCCATATTCTATTCTATTCTATTCTATTCTATTCTATTGATTAATAAAGTGGGGGTGTTTGATAAGTACCAGGATAAAACACAGGGCAGATTTGTTAAAATATATATTTTAGAGTGTTTGACAGTTCATTTATTTGACCAAACTTTTTTGCTCATCTCCCTAAAAAAGGGAGTCTGGACAGTGAACTAATAAAATACTAAAACTCAAAAATAGGATATAAAATTTAAGAAGGCAATCCTTGTGATTTAATTTATTGATTAAAATTCAGTGTTAAAAGTTAATTAAAAGCCGGGCAGAAGGCTTTCAGAATGCTAGCCAGCCCAGGAGGATAATTGAGGAAGGATTTGCAGTCCTTTTCTTGAAAATCTGAGGGCTTTCTCCACCACTTTTCCGTTTGCGCATTAACATTTAAATTTGAAGATTTCATTTTCCTGCAGTTCTGACTATAAATATATATTTTTTCACAGACGACTAAATGAGAGAGAACGAATAGGCGAACTAGGAGCACCTGAAATCTGGGGACTCTCACCAAAACTTCCTGAGCCAGAGTAAAACTTGCATTTAATTTAAGTTACATTTGTATTTCACGTTGGGCACTCTAGTTGATAGATCTTAAGATTAAATTCTGCTTTTTAAATCTAGTTCTGATGAACATACACCCGCAGAAGATGAAGATGGATCATCTAAAAAAAGCAGCACTTCCGAGTCCAGTTCAGAAGGTACTGCAATGTGTTTAAGATAAAGTTTGACTACCTCAGAAATATCTGTGGGGAACTCATTTTACTTTCAGTTGTAAATGGCATTTCCAAATTTGTCCAAAATAATTCCAGATGGCTGCTTCTTAACTCAGGAAAAATGTGTGTTCTCTGAAAACTATAGATGTGGTTTGAAAGCTTTTTTGCTGCAACAACCTTGTGATAACTTCGGGCATGGCACAAAGACAACACAGTCAGATAATCAGTAGGAGTCGCTTTATTAGCTCCAATTTTGCTCCCAATGTCCTGGTCACCTCCTGGCCGGAGAAAAACTCTCCTAGGAACAGCCTTTGGCTGCAGAGAATCAAGTCCAAAACATGGTCAACAAAAACAGTAACTATAAGTCCAAACAGGGCAAAATGAGGTAATTAGTCTGGCAGGGCAGGAGAATGAATTCCAGACATGAAGGAACGGCAGTAATTCAACACGGTTGGAAGGATGCCAGGAACACAGATAACCAAAGTCAATGCAAGATAAATTAACGTTTGTACCCAGCAGATGCTGTAGTCAGCTTGCATCTCTTTTAAACTCTCTTCCCAGGTGTGGCTAATGAAGGGAATCAGGGCTCTTTCCTCCCCCGTAAGCCACACGACCCATGTTGCTCACTTCTCCGTTCCTCCCTGCGTGCTCTAGGATGAAGAGGGGGTGGGCCTGGGTGCTTCTCCGAATTCCCTCTCCCTTGTTCTACCTCTTCCCTGCTCTGCCCAGCCAGACTTTGCCCTTCCCTAGCCTCCACAGTCAACGGAGCCACACTCCCACTCCCTGTCAACTGTTCGTCTTCCTCCTTGGATTCAGACTCCGACAGGGGCATGACAAACCTGTTCCCCTATATTGCTCTGAAATAAAGGGTGGTTGTTGTTTTTTTAAAAAAGAGGGGTACTTACAGGTAATCCTCGACTTACAGCAACTCATTTAGTGACCATTCAAAGTTAAAACAGCAATGAAAAAGGCGACTTATGACCATTTTTCACACTTATGACCGTTGCAGCATCCCCACAGTCGAGATCAGAATTCCATTGCTTGGAAACTGGTTCATACTTATGACAGTTGCAGTGTCCCCGGGTTATAGGTATCTTGTTTTGCAACCTTCTGACAACCAAAATCAACGGGGAAGCCAGATTGTTGCTAACTTAACAACTGCAGTGATTCACAGTTGTTAAACTGTGGCGAGTGGTCATAAAACGGAGGAAAACTCACTTAACAAATGCCACAGAAATGTTGGGTTCCATTGTGGGGTTATGTCGAGGATTGGCTGTAACTGTCTTGCACCTCTGCAACCGACAATCAGTGGATCCTATTTCAGGAGGAAGTACTGAATTGTTTGGAAGTTATTTTTAATAAGTTTTCCGTAACCCAACTTCCAGAGAATTCCCCCTGGATGACTAAGAATCTTCATCAGTATATTAGAAATGAATTGTTTATCTGATTATAAAACAGACACTTTTCAAAAAAAAATTTTTTTTAGAGGAAGAGAAGAAAAGGAAGAAGAAAAAGAAAAAGAAGAAAAAGGCTGCAGCACGTAAGTTTCAGGTGATAGTTGGGAATAACGTTCTTTCTTGATTTGGATTAAATTTGAATTAAATACAGAGGGGAAAAAAATCCATATTTTTGCCGATATGAAAAAGGAATATGATGAGTTTGGTTCAGTTTAACGTTTAAGTGTCTTTTTACAAGAATATAGAATATGTACGTGTACTTTCAAGTGTTTTACTTAATAGAGAATCAGTATATCGTGCCAGCAGTTATTGTATCATTAAACTAATAGGGAATTACATATTTAAAAATTCTCAGATATAATTCAATATATGTATCTGGAACCAAGGAATTCAGCTGTGACAACTTTAAGACTTGTGGACCTCAACTCCCAGAATTCCCCTGCCAGCAGTTCATATTTATTTACACAGCATATCCAGTGCGATTCACTGACTACTGGAACAGTATTACTGTTTCACTGTTCCCTCTGTTTTATCAGACCAAGAGAAAAACATTGATTTAAGTTCATCCTTTAAAATTCACAACAGAATTGGAGATTTGCATCTTAATCTTTTTAATTTATTTCCTTAATCTGGTTACTCGAATGTGCTAGTTTTTATCTCTCTTGGAAACAAAATCAGGTTTTAAAGATTTCCTTCTTGTGTCTCCCCCCTCCCCCTATTTTTTTTTTTTCTATTTAATACTTCAGGTGAGGAGGAGAAAAAAAGAGCCAAGAAGAAGAGAAAGAAGCATAGAAAGTAAGAACCCATTTAAAAATAATTGCATGCTTCCTGTATTAAATATGATACCATTCTTCCCTTAACTGCCTATGGACAAGCCAAAATCTGTCTTGTTAATAGAAAGAACTCCTAAAATGCTGGCTTAACTTTCAGCTTTTGTTATTGTTATTGAGCAAATAAAACATAAAACCCTATTTATGCCAGCTAGAAAGAGAAAAGAATGAAGAGTTTGAGATCCTAGCTTGCTGTGGCCCCTTTGCAGATAGTGCTGTAACCAAAGCATTTTATTCTTGTAATCGTTGGTTTTTCTCTTCCCTGATGGTGGCTCTCCAAATCCTCTCCCTCTTTTAATGGCCAGGAAAAAGAGCAAGAAAAAGAAGAGTAAGAAGAGCAGGAAGGATTCTAGTGACTCGAGCAGCGAAGACTCTGACGAGGGAACTCTACATGGGGACGATCTCTGGATTGAGAGATCAAGTACGTGGTTCCCACTGCGGAAGGGCTAACTAAACTCAAGTGATGTGCTCAAGTAATCCTTTTGATTAAGAGACATGCGCTCATCTCAGAACAGTCTAAAACTCAAACTCATTTCATTGGGAGATTACTAGCTAATTTTAAGGATATTCTTGTGTTTACATCCTTCTTTCCAGTCGCCTGGATTGTATTTTTTTTTATGCTTTTTGTCTCTTTTATCATTCCTGTTCATTAATGATGTACAGATAGTCCTCAACTGAGGAGCACGATTGAGCCCACCATTTCTGTTGTTAACTCAGACGTTTTGTTAAGTGACTCTTGCCCCCATTTTACAACTTTCCTTGCCATAGCTGTTAAGTGAATCGCCGCCATTGATAAGTTAGTAGCCCGGTTGTTAAGTGAATCTGGGTTCCCCGCTCCCTTTCTGCTGGCAATTAAAAAGACCAAAGGAGGTCTGCTTTTCTTAGTCAACATACGTGTTTTTTTTTCCCACAAAACAGGCTTTGTCACAATTGTATATTAGTGATCCATACTGCCGTAGCTTTCATTGGGTTAGGATTTGTTTTCTCCTTTATTTATTGCAGAAAACCCCGACTCCGTGGATTTTATTGGCCCAGAAGCTCCCATCACTCACGCTTCTCAAGACGACCGTCCTTTGAAGTGAGTGCTCTCCTCCGTGGCTGATAACAGACTAGGAGGGAGTAGAATGGTTGTAGATTCAGATCGCACACAGAGGGTGAACTGCAACACCAGGCTTTGGGGAAAGCAGCTCTTTTTTTTGTACTTGCTGTGGTTTACATCGGCATTCTCTTCCTCCCCTGAAGCTATGGACACGCTTTGCTGCCCGGTGAAGGTGCCGCCATGGCCGAGTACGTCAAGGCGGGCAAACGGATCCCCAGGAGAGGCGAGATCGGCCTTACCAGCGAAGAAATCGCTTCCTTTGAGAAATCCGGCTACGTTATGAGTGGCAGCAGGTAAGTGACCAGATTAAAAAATTGCTGTGAGGGCTAAGAGCTAGCCTTGACTTTGATTAGCCCTTCCAAAAGCACAAACACTAGATTGGATCTCAGAACAAAGACTAGATTGGATCTTGCTTGTATTTTACACCAAATTGTAATGAAGAATACTGAATTATATTGAATTGCACTTCATCATGATTATACCCTCATCTGTAGAATTCTTTTGTTTCTGTCCAATCAAAAATGATGGTTTGGCAGTAGCATTTGGCAATAATATGCCATCTAGGAATTTCAGTCTGTGCATCTGTGCGGTAAGCTTTTAGACATAGAAGACCTAGAATAACTTTATTGTCACGATGAACGTACTCAAATTGGCATACATTAAAATGAAATTGTGCCACCCCCACCCACCCCGTTCATGGCAACTCTAAAACAGGCGTAGAAATGTTTTATGAGTTGACAAATGCTCTTGTCACTGGTTGATGCCTTGAGTGTTGGTCGTTCACCGATGGGCACCGTCTCTCTCCTTAGGCATCGGCGAATGGAGGCGGTCCGTCTGCGGAAAGAGAACCAGATCTACAGCGCGGATGAGAAGAGGGCCCTGGCGTCTTTCAACCAGGAGGAAAGGCGGAAGAGAGAAAACAAGATCCTAGCCAGCTTCCGGGAAATGGTCTACCGAAAAACTAAGAGCAAGGATGAGAAATGAACGACGTGTCCTCCCTAGTGATGGGCAGATGGGTGGGGCCCTGACACTGCCTTGTGCTATGGGGAATTTGCGGGGGAAACAGTCCCTGAGATATCCAGCTTCAGAACCCTAATTGGTCTGGTGAGGCCTTGGAACTAACTCGCAGGGTCTTTCCAACTTGCAATCCAAGTCAGAATAACCAAAGCAGGCCAATCGGTACCACCATAATGCCCAGAAGCTATTGAGATACTGTTGCTTCTTTTTGGTTGAGAAAGTAGCACTTTAAAAAGAAAAAAGAAAACCAGAGCAAATGGAGCAAAGATTTCCATTTATGGGGGTTGAGAGAAGACCTGTTTTCTATCCACTTTGACAAGAAGAAAATATTAAGCCCTGAATGAAACAACAAGGTCTCTTATAAGACGAGTGTGTTTTGTGAAAAATGGCCAGAACATACCCTGGGTCTGACTCTATGCCCCCAAAAGACAGAAGTAGCTTTAATACTGATGGTTGCCTTTATAAGCTTCCTGCCTCCAACAGACACAAATAGGAGTGGATGGATCATTAAAAACAGAGAAAAATGGTTTAAATCATGTTCTCTGGCTCAGACCATCAAGTGTGGGGCATCTCCTGCAGACTCCTTGTAAATAGGAACACAAAATATTCTTTTCATTTTGAGATTTTTTTGCAGGTTTAATATCATTTTGCAAGCAAGAATGCTTTTGCGGATCGGTAAATGTATTTCCTGCTCAACTAAGTGTAAATAGAAGATGGAATATTCATCTGAGTAAGTTTTTAACCCTTTAGTTTCTTCAGTGGTTTTATCTATAGATAAAATATGTTGGGTTGGAATTCAAAGCCCATGTACCAACTGCCACGTATTGTGGGAGTTTTCAGTTTCTGTTGCCTTTTGTAAATTTGGAGTGCCCCATAAACTTTAGAAGCAAAGCTGGAGCCATGTTTTGAAACAAGGAAGAAAAGAAAATCCCAATGTAACTACACCCCAGTATCAAGGACAGCTTTATTGAATGCATTCTGGACATTACTTTTTTGCACAGTTCCGGTATGGTACACCACTTCTAAAGTCTATTTTTAAAATTAAAATGTCCTCCCTAAGTACAGATGGCTATGTGTTGTTTTTTTGAGGTGTGCCAGTTTCTGTTGTGGTTCGCCGGCAGCTTGCGTAGACAGCAGTGGAATCGGACAGTGGGGAAGAACGGGGACCAGTCTGGGAGGACTCAGACGAGGGTCCTACGTCCGATGCAGAGATCGGGCCAGGGGCATCTGGGAGTGGAATGCTGACTCCAAAGCCTCCGGAGTCTGGCAGCGAGGCAGAGGAACCAGAGGAGCCTGTTCCCAATGCACAGAGCTGCTAGAAGGCAAAAACAGCTGAGACAAAAGGGGCGACTCGGGAGTAAGACTGGGAGGTTATTGTCCCTCCTATAAGGGATAAAGGACAGACAAAGATGAAGAAACCTTTGCAGGAAGCAAAGTCGTTCGCTCTGCTCAGATTAAATCTTGAAGCTCTGTGTGGACTTTGTACTTTGTTTGGCTTTTTTATAGTTCATTTGGCATTCTAGTTGGCAGCAATTCAAAGGCGAGAAAGGTGGGTGCTTATCTCGAGGGACTGGGACTTATTACAGGCTGGGAATGAACATAATTCCCAGTGTTGAAATAAAACAAAGAGTTGTTTTAACTAAGTGCTTAATTACGGTTTCAGGAAGCCTTGGTCAGAACAGTTTCCTATTTGTTCAATAAATGCCTCTCCGTCTTTTATTGGAGCTCAAGGTTACGTACAGAGCCCGCCGTTCTCCATTGCTATCCTCACAATAGCCAGGAGAGGCAGATCCAGGCTGAGAGAATGACAAGGTTCATCCTGTGGCTTTCCATAAACTTAGAGGTGGATTGGAGCACAAGTTTTCTCAGGCTTACTTCAACTCCTAAACTAAATGACTCCATCTCAACTCTTTGAAGTCATTGGATGACTGAAAATCTCCATAAACAATTTGGTTAAAAGTTTTTTCTTCCTGCACTTCATTGACACGAATGACCCAAAGAGATCAAAACAAGGGTTTGATTACAGCAACTCTTGAATTTTGCTACCAAAAAATAAAAACAAAAGCAGTGATAGAGAGAGAGGGGTTTTAATTTCTAATCGTCCCAGCAAAACTAAAAATCCACAGTCTCCATCATGACAATCTTACTTTCAATTACATCTTTGAGCCACTTCTCTTTGAATCGAGTTTTTCCTGGCCTGTATAAATAGAAAACAGCCCTGAGTATTTTACACTCACATTTTTCATTTTATATTAAAGGGTTACCTAATACAAATAGTTCTTATGGCAAAGTGGGAACCCAGATCTTTTAAACCAGTTGATTGGGGTGTGTGAACGTACCTGTGAACGAGCTTATTGGTTTCCACCACAAAGAATACTTCAATCGGCAGCATCTGTATCAGATAGAAAACCAAAGATTAGTTTTATGAATGGGGCTAGTTTAACCTCTTAACAGTCACTAAATGATTGGTTTTAAGCCAAGGACTGCTTGTACAAAAAGCCAATAATTTCCCATCTCTATTGTGATCAGATTCTGGTCCTAGAATCCCAGATGCTCTCCAAGACTGGTGGTTTTCTTGCAGACGTCTCATTACCAAACTAGGAAACATCATCAGTCCTAAAAGAGTGTGGGGTTTGGTCACAGTTTCTATCTTGCAGCTTGCTCTGTATTGGTGTTCAGACCCAAGCCTTGTTCAGATTAAACCAACACAAACTGTGTATAAAAGCAAACCTATTTTAATGTGGTGCTGGGAATTCAGGGCTGTCAGGATTCCAGCAGTTACTCCAATTAAATCATGAGCCTCAAGCCACACTCCCAAAACTAAAAAAGATTTATTTGAAGGTAACGTTCTAAGTCCGGCATTTACCTGGGCATAGCCAATTCTGAGATACATAATTCACTGTCACCCTTGATCCTGCTTTTTCCCCCACCCCTCTGGGTGTATCATCCAACGAAAAACCTCCATAGCCAAAAGTCATCAATCATGCTCTCCAATTAGATTTTTGCGCTGTAGAAGCTTCAGTCATTTAATCAGTGTTTGAAGAAAATATGAACAGAATGTACTTTCGATTCCACACTGCCGCCTGCTTTTTGAAACGTCCTTCTTTCTGTTGTCAACTATAAAATGTGTATACCAAATGTTTTATGAGTTGACAAGGGCATTCCCAGCCAAAAGACATTTAAACCTAATTGTCCAATATCAAAAGCAAGCCCTTTCAAGGTTGCAAAAGGCTGCCAAGAACAGAAGATTAATTACTGATTAAATATCCACCGACAGAAGTTTTAAAAACAAACCGGAGTAAGCAGGGCTTCAACAAGGACTCTGAGTCTAAAGAATTACTTTGCTTCCTGCAAAGAATACATCCCCAAGGGCTGGTTTTTATCCCTTATGGGAGGGGCCATCACTTTCCAGCCTGACTCCCGAGTCACCCTTGCTGCTTCAGTTGCTCTTTCCTGCAAGCAGCCCTGTGTGCACGCACTCTGGGCACAAGCTCCCCGGGGTCCTCTGCGTCACTGCTGCCAGACTCCACAAGCTCCAAAGGCGGCACTCCACTCTCCGATAGTCCTGGCCTCATCCCTACATCACACGCAGGCCCCTCATCCGAGTCCTTGCTGTCAGAGACCTCTGCCGTCCACACCTGCTCCCGGCGAACCACAACAGTTGGTGGGAGCGTTCTTGGTTGGAGCCACAGTTCATGGGTTTGAGAGAGCATCCCTAACACGACTTCATCGCAATTGAGCTTAATTGCCTCCCAAGAGGACCTCAAATTACTCACTTTGGGTTTGATTTTGGAAATCTCAATGACGAAATAGACACAAGCTGTGGCTCGCGGGATGGGCTTCCTGCATGTCGGGATGCTCCAGCGGACTCGGTAATAATACTGGGTGCTATACTGGAGTTCCTGTTTGTTGAGATAGTTGCTCCAGTGTAACCAACTTTCATGAAGTTCCCATGTCTGAAAGGATAAATGTATTGTAAATCAGAGAGCAGTCCTGTTATGAGCACCTCTTTGGGAAAAAAAAGGCTGTTTTAGTAGAGTGGAGTAGACAGAGCAGAACAGAACAGAACAGAATTCTTTATTGGCCAAGTGTGATTGGACACACAAGGAATTGGTCTTGGTGCAAATGGTCTGTGTGCACAAAAGAAAAGAGACATTTGTCAAGAGTCAAGAATCATCACATACAACACTTAATAATAGGGTACAATAAGCAATCAAATAAAATAAGATTTGTCCCGTTACTTCAATGATGGAGAAATGAATAAAAAGGAAGGATGGGGGGAAAAGGTATTACCTTGAAATATATCAGTAGCTATACCCAAAGGTGATTTTTCAGGAGACAACTAGACTTTCTTGTTTTTTTTCTTTTGAAGACGTTTCGCTTCTCACCCAAGAAGCTTCTTCAACTCTGACAGAATGGAAGTCAAAGCTGAAGAAGCTTCTTGGATGAGAAGTGAAACGTCTTCAAAAGAACAAACAAGAAAGTCCAGTTGCCTCCTGAAAAAAGCACCTTTGGGACAACCAGGACCTGGATGACGGAGAATCTTCATAGACGCTGGACATGAAACTTACTTTCATATAGTCCTCAATCTGCAACAGGCCTTTTCCGATGGAGAAATCTGTGCACCTCATCCAAGTAATATTTCGCATTTTGTATTGGGCACCTGAAGTTGATTGAGAAGAGTACAAATTAGAGCCCAGTAGTCCCAAGTCAGACACCAATGCCCTGACACCTTCATGTCCACCTGGGAGTACCTGCCTCTTCCTTCTGCAGGGCTACGATTTGGTCCACGGCATCTTTGACCACTCTACCAACAACCGAGGTTGCTGCCTCCTGGATGTCTTCCTCCTCCTCCTCATCTTCCTCGTCCTCCGTAATTATTATGTATTTCTCTTCCAGTGACATGGTTCTTTCTGTCTTCAGCTTGTAGAAGACGGAGGGGAGAAAAAAAAAACACTGTGTAGAATCTGAAGAAACAGTCTGGGGAAAAGTTATGTCTGGATTGTAGGTAAATCCTTGACCCGTGTGCCCGATTCCGTTCTTATGTGCATCATAGAAGATCATCTAATTGTGATCATGAAATCTTAAGTGGTGACACATCTGCTAGTTTGTAAGATAATAGAAGACCTTCTGATCAGCTGCTAGTACCGCAGACCATAATTGGTCTAAATCTTCCTGGTTATAGGAATTATAGCAATAGTACTTATATACCACTTCACAGTGTTTTACAGCCCTCTCTAAGAGGTTTACACATAGCCTCTTGCCCCCAAACAATCTGGGTCCTCCTCATTTTACCAACTTTGGAAGTCTGAGTCAACTCAACTTATTAATTATTTGAATTAATTATTTGACTTAATTGAATTATTGAGTCTGTCATCTGCACCTCTATAACTGTCTGGTTTGGTTCTGCAACCCAACAAGACAGGCACAGACTTCAGAGAGTAATTAGGACTGCAGAAAAAAACATGGCTACCAACCTGCCTTCCATCGAGGACCTGTATCCTGCATGAGTCAAAAAGTGGGCCGTGAAAATATCTACAGACCCCTTCACATCCCGGACATAAACTGTTTCAACTCCTACCCTCAAAATGACACTATAGAGCACTACACACAACTAGACACAAGGAGAGTTTTTCCCTGAACACCATCACTCTATTAAACAAATAATTCCCTTGACATTGTCAAACTATTTACTAAATCTGCACTACTATTACTATTAATATTGTGAGTGTATGTCTGTAACTTTGTTGCTTGTATCCTTACGATTTTTATTGACTGTTTCCTAGTATGACTTAATTGTTTATTGTACCCTATGACTATTATTAAGTGTTGTACCTTATGAGTTTTGACGAATGTATCTTTTCTTTGATGTACACTGAGAGCATTTGCACCAAGACAAATTCCTTGTATGTCCAATCACACTTGGCCAATAAAGATTATTCTATTCTATCTATGCTATTCTATTCTGTTCTGTTCAATTCTATTCTACTCCTTATTCCATCTTCTCCTCTCCTCTCTTCTGTTCTATTCGAACTGCTGGCAGTGAGCAGAATTAGCCTGCA